AGTATAATTTAATTTCAAATTGAAATACAAAGGTGAGGTGTTGGAGATCATCTATATCTTTGGAGTAAGGCAAAAAAATGTTAAAATGTTAAAAAAATAAAGTTAAAACTTTCTTCTCTTTTCCAGAGAAAGTACAAGCTGAAATCAACAAAGTACTAGGCCAATCACAGCTGCCCAGCACAGCCAACCGAGACCACATGCCCTACACTAATGCCGTCATCCACGAGGTGCAAAGAATGGGTAACATCATTCCCCTGAATGTACCCAGGGAAGTGACATTTGACACCACTCTGGATGGCTACTATCTGCCAAAGGTAATCAGGAACTCGGACTCAAGTCATTATGCCTGTCTATTGTGACAGTAGGAACTAAAATTTGAAAATTATCTGCATTCATGTACCAAGGAATGACTCAAACAAGGTTAGGGCTGTTATACTTAATACAGTATGCTTTTACTTCCTTCCAAGTGTGGTTTTAGAACATCAATACCATTATGTTATTAGATATTTGAGAAAAGAGAGCAGAGATTCTATAAATAATTTTTAAAACCTTACAAATAAATATGTATTGGAAGAAGTGCAACAAGTTTGTATCTTAAAAGCAAGTATGGTGAAAATTCTTCTAGCATACTTATGATGTGTTACTAAGAGAGGCCGGTCCTTGGAAGAATGCAGCATTCTTGAGAAGGTAGATTTGTGAAAAGAGGGAAGCTTTTAACAAGATCGATTGACAGATTGACAGTGACTGTAAACATAAGCTTGAACTTGATAGATCATGAAGATAATGCAGGGAAGGAAGGTTTAGATCTGCTGTTAGCTATGAATGTGGCTACGAGTCTTAGTTGATTCAAAACACCTAACATCAATATGACCAGGTAGGTTTAGATAAAGAAATACTTTGCAATGCTTTGCTACTTCTTAGAGTTTTAACTATCTTAATTTGCACTGGAAGACAGTGGTGGTTGGTGATGTAATTCTCAGCTTCCATATGAGAAACAAGACTAAGTTTCAGGCCAATGCACTTCAGCTCATCACTACCTGTATGCAAGTGTATGTTTAAGTGTTGCTGTCAGAAGACACCTGAGGGCACCTAGTAGCATAAAGAACAAGTTTTAGTGGAGTTTCCACAGGAGGAAGAAAAACTGGAGGTCTCCCTTTGAATGGATCCCGACACAGATCTCCTTGTATGGTGTCATCATGAGTGGGGACATACTTGATGTAGATTACAACAGCAGCGTGCATGATGAATTCTCTGGGAGAATATTTCACAGGATAAGACACTTACTGCATACAATGTGTGGCTTATAGAATGCTCAAATGTGAAAGAAATTTGAGAATACCTGAGTTAACATTACCTTAATGCTGACATTTCCAGAATAATATAGAACACTTTTCACCCAAAAGATGCAGAGAGAGATACGGTACTTACTATCACAAAAGTAAAAGTCAACCCATGAGTCGACCACACTGTTAGAGTGAGAAAGAGGCCAGAGTTTATCAAGCAATGACTGTAGACCATTTGTTGCTGTTGTTGTTGTTGTTATGTGCCGTGGAGTTACCTGCGACTCATAGCGACCCTATTTACAACAGCCCTAAATTTTCCCTATCCTGTGCCAATCTTACCATCTCCGACACACCTACCCCCATTATCCCAGTCACTGAATCATGAAGCATGACGTACCTCTCCAAGGACCAGTCCTTCTTCCTTGCAACATGTCCAAAGTATGTCAGACGAAGCTTCAGAATCCTTGCTTTGTTTGTCCTGCAGAGGTTGTAGACCATTTAGTGTCTTTCAAAATGTTTCAATCCATCTTAAGAATTACTCCTTTTTTTATATCCTACCTATTTTATAGAGGAAAGTTGAGACTCAGAGAAGTTAAGTACCTTGTCTAAGATCTCTCATTTGCTAAGGAATCAGGTTATGATTACAAAACTTTGTCTTTGTTGTGCTGTAATCAGTTCCCACTACTGCTACTGATTTAGTTTGACTTTAAAATTAGAATTGTTAGACTGTTAATGGAGAGGTCACCATTTTGAACATATCAACCTTTACTTGGGAAAAGAAAGGTAATATCTTTTATTAAACAGAAAAGCTTTGCAGACCTAATAGGGTATCACCATGAGCCCTAATGGACCCAAGGCATTACTTAGCATTATACAATTTTCCTCAGTTGTTGGTTCAGTAGCTGTCTTAGCATCCATCCCAGATTCAAGGTGAACCCGTGCACAAGGGGGAAAAGGCTTCTTAGTTCTATGTCATCACCGTGATGAACTGTGGATAAGATAGATGTAATTCTTAGAGATTTCAGTGAACATTGTTTTGTAGTAGATTCTGTTACATTCCCAAGTCCTCACACAAACATCTAATCCCATACTCCCAGAATCTTGGAATCTCTGCTGACAGTTCTACTGTGCATTTTAGTGTCCTTTTTAAAAAAAGATGGCTGGACACACATCTCTTCCCTTGGTTTCTCCTGGCTTCCACCTGGAAGCCTGATGATTAACAACTTAAATATTGGGGTGCTAATAGAAGATGACCTTGGAGAGGGACATCATGATTGAAAGGGTGGAGGGGGCAGCACAGGAGAGGCAGACCCAGGATGAAATGGATTGACTCAGTGACTGGAGAAATGGGATTAGGTGTGTCGGAGATGATGAGATTGGCTCAGGATAGGACAGCTTTCAGAGCTAATGTACATAGGGTCACCATGAGTTGCAGACAACTCGATGGCATATAACAACAACAAGAACAACAACAATGGAAGATAATGGTTTGAATCCTCCAGATCACCTTCTGTGTAAATGTGTTGAATGGGTTAAGCCTTTCCTGAATCTTTGCTGCCTTTTCTAGGGCACCATGATTCTGACCAATCTGACAGCACTTCACAGGGACCCCAAAGAGTGGGCCACCCCTGACACATTCAATCCAGAGCACTTTCTGGAGAATGGACAGTTTAAGAAGAGGGAAGCCTTTCTGGCTTTTTCAATAGGTAAGTTCCAAATAAATGGCCTGTCTCAGGCACATCTTAGTCTCCAGAGAGACACCATTGCTCATCAACACTCTGGAGAGTTCCCTAACATCAGACTTTCCCATTGCAATATGTCTTTTAATTTCCTGGCTGCTGGTGCCAAGAGTGTTGACTGTGGAGCCAAGCAAACTGAAGCTGTTAACAGTCTCAGTCTCTTCATCATCCATCCTGATGCTGCTAATTGGCCCAATGGTGAGAATTTTTATATTGAGCTTCAATCCATATTGAAGGCTACATTCCTTCACCTTTTGCAGAAAGCGCTTCAGGTCCTCTTCAGTTTCAGCAAGCAGGGTTGTGTCATCTACATAAAGCAGATTGTTGATGAATCTTCCACCAATCCTAATGTCACACTTCTCCCAACCAATAAACATGGAACAAATTAGAAAATCACCATTTGTCAATCATCAGTGTAGTAACTAGTTTGGCCAAGAAACAAAAATGGGTGTTAAAAATAATGGCTGAAAGTTCAAGTCAATAGATAGGCAGTTTCAACTCACTCAGGCATTTCATGACAAAACCCCTGGAGTTCAGCTTCCATAAAGATGATAACCAAAAATTCCTATGGGACAGTTCTACTCTGTCCCATACACTGCTATCATTTGGAATCATTTGAAATTATTTAAAAAATGAAAGAAACCATCAGAAACTACCATGTGAAAGAAGTGTAATGTACAGGAAGTCATTAACATGAGGCTAATGTGCCTGATTTACAGCCTCTGAAAACCTGGTGGAGGATCATCAATGAATTGATTCTGACTTGACTTCAATGACTTTGCATTTCAACATTGCTCCAAATTTTGTTTAACCCTTTCATTATCACTTTATTTTCTGCTTTCTATTTTTTGATACCACATATTTCCATAATGAAAAGCATGTTAAACTCCAAAGGTAGTGTTTCAGATACTACGGATTTGATGGCCAAGCATGAGGAGTCGGTCTGTCATCCCAAAGGCAGACAATTCAAATCCTCTAGTTACTCTGAGGGAGAGGAGTTGGCAGTCGCTTCCTATGTGATTTTCAGCCTCTGAATACCTGATGGAGGGTCAAAAATGAGTCAGTCCAGACTCAATGGTACATCATAACATGTGGACACATACTTCCCATTGAGGTCCAGTAGTAGGATTGGTAGGGTAAAACCCATTTCTTCAGATTCACTCAGACACACAGGCCCCAAAATTAGGCTACAAAAGCTTCCCAAGACACCTAAGAGGCTGAAAATGAAGGTGGAGCTGTATTTTTTTTTTAAAAAGTTAAAAATAGTCTTTTAATTGTTTTTCTCTGTTTTGAGAATTAAATATACTTTTGGCATATTTAATGAAAAGAAATTTTCAGGTTCAGGGCTCTAGTCCACCAAGGAGCAACTCCAAGGAAAGGCCAAGCTATCTATTTCCAAAAAATCATCTATTAAAAACATTGTACTATTTATAAAAATCAATTAAGTTATTTGTATGTGCCTTTGAGTCAGAATTAACCCATAGCTAAACCTCAAGTGGGTTTTCAGAGGCAGTTCGATTGCATAAGATTGCCCATCCATGGAGCAGGTGGTGGCTTCAAACCTCATGACTCTGGGATTGCAGCAAAGCTTCTTGCCACTAGGCTATTTTATTATGTTATTCAATTTTAATAACCTTAATTCTATTTTAATGCCAATAAGTTTATTATTACTATGATGGCATTTAAAAAAATCTTTATTTTGCTGTGTAAATTATTAAATGAGTTCTATTTGAATTCAATCTGAAGTCTGTATGCTAAAATAAACATCTTGTTCACCATAAACATTCATACTCTCCTTTTCCCTCTCTTTCACACATGTACAAATGTATTTTTCCCTTTTTATTATTCTTTAAATCTTTTTTATTTCTTGTAAGTCTTTTTTTTTTTGCACTGTTTACCTATAAAGTTCGTATACACACATGTATTTTTTACTAATTCCTAGAAAGAGAACTTAATTTGACCCTAATCATATGGCTCAAAATTGAGAGAAATGGAATTGGATCTCCATCCTTCTGCTTCCTGTTTTTTCTCTTGTATCAGGAGAGGGAAACGGCCAGGGCTCCACATTAGAAATAAACACCCTTGTTGGGAAGGACCTCTGTGTCATAGGGCCATGTGAAAGCCAGGGAGGCCGTTAACCAAGTGGAGAGGATGATTCATGTGGCTGAGATCCCCAATAAGTAAGGAGAATACTGTTAATATTGAAGGCCGTTACTGTATTTATGTTCTAGAAATTTTTTTATAAAGTAGCACAAATTGCTTGGCATATATTCGCTTAGATTTCTGGCAGTTATAAATTGGAAATCAACGTGTAGGCAAGGTTAAGTACTTCTGGAAGGCTCTGAGGGAGGGTAGACTGCATGCTTCCCTCCTCGCTTCTGTTTTCTGCTTCCTCTGTGTGATTCCCAAAGGCGTTTTGAATCCATAATGTGGGCTAACTCTGTGCCTGAGGTTATACAGGTGGTTGACAGACTTAAGTGATCCTCTGGAAATAAGGCGTTGAGTAGTGGTGAGTCCTTTCTCTACCTACCTTCTCAGAGTAGGAAGAGGATTTCCACTCCTGATGCACACCTCATGCACCAGGGAATAAAATTCAATCTCGGAGTTTGTTTGTGTTGGTTTCTTTTTTTTTTTCTTTTTCTTTTTTCTTTTCAGGAAAACGAGCTTGTCTTGGAGAACAGCTGGCCAGGACTGAACTGTTTATTTTCTTCACTTCCCTTCTACAAAAATTTACCTTCATGCCTCCAGCCAATGAGAAGCTGAGCCTCAAGTTCAGATCAGGTCTCACCCTGTCCCCTGTGGGTTACCGCATCTGTGCTGTTCCTGGATCGTGATGCAGCTGAGGAAAAACAAGAACCACAACCACGGAATGTGTACTAAAGACAACCGGGCCTTCTCAGAAGTGAGAGAACAGAAGTACTTCTGAGGCGAGATCATAGTAATTACACTAAGAGGAAACGAAATCCAAATCCCAGCTCTGCTGTCTTCTGCCATGTAGCCCCACAGGCAGATCCTTTACATGCAAAGTGATTTGTCTTTCCACCCAGGAGATGAAAAGAGGTTTATGATTCTTTTCCAAATAAAGTTGTTATACGAATTAAAGGAAAGTACATCCATGAAGTTATTTCATTATATTCTTCTGTATGTGCCAACTCCTTTTGATACAATGACTCAGTATATTCCTTCCATCTTCTTTTAATACTTCCTGGATCATTTAATATTCTGCCTAAAGCATCCTTGATTCTAGCAACTCGAGGTTTGAATTTGTTCTTCAGTTCTTTGAGCTTAAGAAATGCTGAACAAGTTCGGCCCCTTTGATTCTCCAACTCCAGCTCCTCACACATTTCATTGTTATATTTTGCTTTGTCATTCTGAGCTGACTTTTGGAATCTGCTGTTCAGCTCTTTAGTATCTTGAATTCTTCCTTGTGCTTTGGCTTCTTTACGCTCTAGTGCAATCTTCAGAGTTTCTTCTGACATCATTTTGGTCTTTTCTTCCTCTTCTGTCTTTGTAATGACCATTTGTACTCTTCCTGGATGATACCTTTGACATCCTCCCACAACTCATCTGGTCTTCGTTCGTTAGTGTTCAAGGCCTCAAACCTGTTCCTGAGATGATTCTGAAATTCAGGTGGGATGAAATCAAAGTAACATTTTGGCTCCTGTGGATTTGGCTTAATTTTCCTTAGTTTCAGCTTGAACTTGCATATGAGTAATTGGTGGTCTGTTCCACAATCAGCACCTGGCCTAGTTTTCACAGCTGATATTGAGCTTCTCCAGTGGTTCTTTCCACAGATGTAATCAGTGTGATTCCTATGCATACCATCAGGTGAAATCCGTGTGTATAACCTGCGTTTATGTTCCTTATAAAACGTATTTGCAATGAATAAGTCATTGATTATACAAAATTCATTCTATCTCCAGCTTCATTTCTGTCACCAAGCCCATGTTTTCCAACCACAGATCCTTCTTCTCTGTTCCCAACTTTTGCATTCCAGTCACCCATTATTGTCAATGCATCTTGATTGCATGTTCGATCTATCTCCGACTGTAAGAGCTGGCAGAAATAATCTATTTCTTCTTACTTTGGCTTTAGTTGTTGGTGCATATATCTGAATGATTGTGGTATTCACTGAACTTCCTTGTAATCGTATGGATATAATCCTGTCACTCATGATGTTGTACTTCAAGATGGATCTAGAAATTACTTTTTATTACTATGAAGGCAACCCCTTTTCCCCTCATCTTTTCATCTCCGGAGTAATATATCATATGATCATCTGACTCAAAATGCCCCATGCTAGTCCATCTCATCTCTCCAATGCCTAATATGTCAATATTTATGTGTTCCATTTCTTTCTTAACAATTTATAATTTTCCTACATTCATGGATCTCACATTCCATGTTCCAGTCACTAGGGTCTGCTTACAAGTGTTCCTCTTCCTTTGTATTTCCGTACTTGAAAGTTCTACCTAGGTTGCCCTTTCTGTTAGTCTGCGTGTGTTCTGTTGTACATTGGGTTTTCAGAGGCCTGCTATTTCAGAAGTGGGTGGCAAATCCTTCTTCCTAGTCTGTCTTAATCTGAATGTTTAGATTTTGAGGAGTATCTGACAGACAAGCAATTTGTGGAGCAGTGAAAAATAAATCCCTCATTGTGGAGTTAACCATTAGTTACAGTGTTGACCCTGCCCTTAGCTCAGTGTCTTGAGAAGAGTACTGAATGTACCATGGACTGCCAAGAAAACAACCAGATTCATCCTGGAGAGTGTTAAACCAAGCAATTCCTTGGAGGCAAGGATTCTGGGGCTTCGTCTGACATACTTTGGGCATGTTGCAAGGAGGGACAGGTCCTTGGAGAGGGGCATCATGCTTGGGAAGGTGGAGGGACGGCGCAAGAGGGGAAGACCCTCTGTGAGATGGATTGATTCAGTGACTGGGGTAATCAGGATGGGTGTGTCAGAGGCAGTGAGATTGGCACAGGATAGAACAGGGTTTAGGGCTGTTGTACACAGGGTCGCTATGAGTCACAAACGACTCGATGGCGCATAACAACAACAACAACATGTCCATCAAGTGTTTGTAAACTAAAATAGTGTTTTACAAAATTATATCTGTTATTTGTTTTCCCCTTCCTTAACAAGGAAATGAACTAAATACCTATTTAACATTCATTCAAATGGTGTAAGACAGTTGAGAACACTTCTCAGCTTGTCCCTTGGATGAACTCAAGCTCTACTGACAAGAGACATTTGTTTGTTTTGGTGTTCCGGGGTGGTACAGATGATTAATGAACTAGATTACGCGTGAAAGGTTACATGTTCAAGGCTCTAGTCCACCCTGGAGCACCTCCAAGAAAAAGCCAGGTAATCTATTTCCAAAAAGTCATCTATTAAAAAGTCCTATTAAACACATTTCTATTGTCACTCACATGACAGATTGATAACTTAGCAAGCAGTTTGAGAGATTTCTAGTATAAACTTCATCTCATTTGATTCTCAGAATGATCCTTGATGAAGTCAGCAAGGCAGAGATATCTATTATGTTGATTTACAGTTAAGGAAAATATGCTATGTCAGTAGTTATATAAGCTTGTCCTGCCTTCACTTTAGGCTTCCAGCCAAATAGGGTTTAATCATGATTAATTATGGTGAAATAGGTTGGGGAGAATAATGATACAAATAGTTCCAGCCTTTGAACTTGTTATCCACTGAATTCCACCTCACTGGGATCTCACAGTGACCCGACAGGCAGAAAACAACTCCCTCATACAGTGTAAAAGGAGTCCTGATTGAGCAGTGAGTATAGCATTTGTCTACTAACTAAATCGTTCTAATCCAGCAGCCTCAGAGAAACACCAGCTCCTGTAAAGATTACAACCTTGGAAACTGAAATACCTTTAATCTCTTATAAAATCAGTATGAATACCTTATGAGTCTGGCAATGGACATAGTACAATAATATTTTTTTAAATGTATTAATTTCTTTATTTCTTTTGGATTTCCATTCTTTCATTGTTGCATACCTTCCTCCTTGCCTACCCCACCCTCCCAGTTCGCTTTTCTCTTTGGGGAAAAAAAACCAACCCCAAACCAAAAAAAAAACCTGTCATTGTTATCCAATCCCCCCCCCCCCCCCCGCCCCATCCCAGTCCATGCCACTATGCAGCTTTCATTCTGGACTCTTGTCATGACAATAATACCTAATCATATATTCCTCCTAAACAGTTCTCTCCCTTGTCTGTTTCAATGCAGTATGCATTATTTATCCCCTCTTAGTTTCACCCCAACCCCGAGGCCAGTCCCGCTTTACAACAGTGGCACTATGCAATTTTTGTCCTTTTGTGACTGAGATATTTCACTCAGCATAATGTCCTCTAGGCTCACTTATTTTGTATAATATTTCATGAGTTCCTTGTTTTTCAGTGCAGTGTAGTATTCCATTCTGTGCATGTTCCAGAGCTTCTCTGTCCATTCATTTGTTGATGGGCACTTGGGTTGTTTCCAACTTTTTGCTACTGTGAGCAAAGCCTCAATAAAACATGGGAGTACGATAATCTTTACAGAAGTAGGTGCTGTTATTGTTAGGTGACTTCCTATCTAAACTTTACCCTATCTCACACAATATTGACTTAGATCAGAGGAATCACCTCCTAGCAAATCAAGTGGGGCAATGAGCTCAAGACCATGTAATTCACTTGGTCTTACTACCAAATCGAGGTCTTATCACCATGTTTCAAATCACCTTGAGGCAGGGGGCTTGATAGAATGATGGCATGTCTTTCTATTTAAAGACACAGTTAGGGTGTCAGCTAGGTGGTAGTCCTTTTCTAAGATGGGACAATGAGGCTGTGTATGCTTTAATCCAGCGCCCAGTATGTGAAGCTATTCCCCAATAGCTAGAAATCATTGGTCAGGTAACAAGGGGCAGGAATGCAAGTGGCAATATCTATTATTATAACAAGTAATTTCCTTGCAATTTTTTTGCTTCCTGTCTCTACAACACAATGTTCTGCTGGTTTGGAAGTCTAAGTTACAAAGTGAGGAACACTCCCTTATAGAAACACAAGATAAATTCCATGAAACGGGGAGTTAAACATGCCATGTGGCCACTTTGGGCTGCACATGCCTCTAAAATAACAGGTGAACAAAAGTGTTACTATATTGCGTAGTGCAGTTGATCCCGTAGAAGGCAATTTCTTCCAGCTAGAGAGATTGGTATTGACACTAAACTGACTGGAAGAGATTTATATTTGTTCTCATCTTAAAAAAAAAAAGTGATCCAAAGGAATATGTAAATTATTGAACAATATTTTTTTTATTTTAAATATAGAGTAGGAACATTTGTTTTAATACTTCTAAAAGTTATTTAACCATGCCTGATGATTTGGCATAAAAATCAAACCTATCATACTTTCCCCATCAGTCTGTCTACATGAAGGGTAATCAGAAATTTGTACAACATGAATATCTGCTGAAACAAAAGTTAAAAATGAAATTATAACAAAATACACCAATAACTGGGCCCTAAATGAATTTCTAATGATTTTTTCTTCTTTCCCCCCACTCTCTTAGAACTGCTTTCTTCAGTTTCAATATCTTTAATATCATATGAAAATAGAATCATGCTGAAAATGATTTAAAAATCAGTACATCAATAGGGAACTGCTAGATATTCAAGCTGGGTTCAGCAGAGACCATCAGGAGGTATATCATCACTAAGTTAGATGGCTTTTGACTGAAAGCAGAGAATACCAGAATGATGTTTGTTGTTATGGGCCATTGAGTTGATTACAACTCATAGGAATCCTATAAGCAATAGCTCTGAATCCTGTCCA